AAAAATCACAGTTTTGATAGTTCTGCAAAAAAAAACTTAGCAAATTTACAACAAAACTGTCAAGTAATTAAGGCAAGGCACTTCACACATGAACTTAAACTGCTAATTAAAATCCCCTCGCTTAATTGACTACATTTGCATATCATTCAACTAGGGAGCACAATTTTTTTAATGGTTTGGGCAACGCGGTAGTAACGGGGTGGGGGGGGTGGCAGGTGAGGGGCCGTGAGGCCCAGGCCCAGCAGGTGCGGGACGGGGCTCCGGGGACCGGGCTCCCTCTCCCCAGCGGCCCGGCCGAGCCCGCCGGGTCCTGGGTCCTACGCAGAGGACCAGAGGACATGCTCCTCCCCACCCTTCCTGGGTAGCGGCCAGACGACCTCAGGGTGCACGAGGCACTCTCGCCCCCTCCCCCCTCCCTGCGGGGCAGGCCCTGGCCCTTTCTGCACAGCTGGACGGCAGTCCCGGCCCAGAGGCCTGCCTGCAGCAACAGCCACGCCCCGCCCTGTCCCCACGGCCCGGGGCTGAGAAGCCATGGACGGGGCGCCCTGAGGACAAGACACGAGCAGCACCCGCCTGCAGCTCCCCACGCAGCTGCCTCCTCTGCCCCGGGGCCCAAGCCACTGACGGGCTCGGGCTGGCACGCAAGGGACCCTGCGGCCACCACGCCCAAGAAAGCCCACGCCGCCCTGCGCCCGCCCGCCGACTCGCACAGGACAAGCTGCCCGGTGCTGGGCCCACTCAGCAGGGCAGACCCCGCCTCCCAGAGCGCCCCCACCCTGCTCCACGGAGCCCTGGGGCGCCCAGGCCCCAGACAGCAGCCGCAGCAGACGCAACAGCCCCGGGCGCAGGAACAAGTCAGTCTCGCCCCCAGCCCACAGGTCCCGGGCACAGCAGCGCTGTCAGCACACGACTGTCACCCCACACCACCCCACACACGGCCCAGGGCTGGACCCCCGCTGGCCTCCAGGCACACGGACCCCTCCCGACCTGGGCTCCAGCCCCGGTCAGCGACGTCCCTCAGCCGCGGCCGGCAGATCCCAGGTCAGCGGACCCCAGCACCTGTCGGGCCCAACAAGGAGGGGGCAGGGCCCAGAATCACCGGCAGGCATCTGTCTGGGCCCGGAACTGGGGCCCCAGGGCCTCCCCGCTGACAGCACGACCACAAACACACAGCCAGGCCGCGTGAGGCCCTGGGGACAGCGGCCCAGACCTCCCGGACTCGGCTGCCGTCTCCCGCCGCGGGCCCCAGAGACTGAGCGCAGGGGGGACAGGAGCACCTTGCAGCCACCCGGCGTCCCGGCACAGCCAGACCCCCCACCAGAGGCTCCTTTTGTCCCCCAAAGTCGCACTGAAGTCTCAGGCCCAGGCGGCATCTCCTCTCGGTGAAGCAGCAGCTCTGGGGGCAGTGAGGACGCCCTGGCGGCACGGGCCGGGGGTGCGGACCGTCCTCACGCTGCGGGGGGCCCCCACAACCTAACCCTCCACTGTCCGCTCACTGGCGCCGGGTTGGGGGGGACCACGGGCCCTGGCCCAGCTGGCTCCGAGTGTGGCCACCGGGAGGGCCCCTCCCAGGCAAGCCCCCCCACCCCCACCCTCCTCTGTGGCCGGGGCCCCTGCCGGGCCCAACCCCCACCCAGCACCCCCGCCGTCGCCCCGGTAACCGGGCCGAGGCCCCCCAGGTGGGAAGCGTGGTCTCCCGGGCCGGAGGACATAGCTGGGCCTCTGTATTTTGACTCAAAACAAAGACACTTTTTAAAAACATTTCAGTTGGAACTTGCATAATTCGCCAGTGGAGAAACCCGCCCGCTTTCGCAATCCTTAGAAAGAGACACATTATTGCTGCTTGTGTAACAGTCCCCAGGCCGCAGTGGCCGCGGCGGGGACACCTCCGCCCGCCCGCCAGACAGCCGGGCCCCGGAAACGCCGCCCGGCAGCGGCCGCTTCCCCCAGACTTCCTGCGCGACCGCCCGCCGCTCCGCAGACTCCGCGACAGCAGCCCCGAGGCGGCGAGGCGCTGGCTGCGCTGGCGGGGCCTGGGGCCTGGGGCCTGGGGCCTGGGGGGCGGGAGGGCCCTGCAGAAGGGAGGCTGGCTCGCCCCCAGGAGCGCCGCCCCAACCGTCTGAGAAGACCCCGGCCCGCGGCCAGACCCCAACCTCCCGCACAGGGCCCGGTCCGGCCGCCCCGGAGCCTCGTCACGGTCCAGAACCGGGAATTCACCGCCAGAGTCGACAGAGAGTCAGAGAGGCGACAGAGAGACAACCGCCCTCCGGCCGGGCCCGGGCCTGACGGCGCCGGCACATGCAGATGCCCCGGACAGCGGCCCCGCCTGCGCCGCCTCGGGAACTCGGGCAGCCCGCGGGGCCGGCAGACAGGTGCAAGCGCCCGGAAAGCCAGCGTGCGCGAGCGCGAGGACGGGGTGCCTGAACCACACCATCTTCTGCCGAGGCGCCAGGGAGCCCCGGGACACCAGCCCCACCCTGACCGGGACACCCTGCCGCCCCGTGGAGACCGGCAGCCCTGTGCCCACTAGAAAAGCCACCCCGGCGGTCCCGGCACCTGGGATGAGCCGAGGGGTGGCACCAGGCCGTGTGGGCAGGAGGGCAGGGAAGGCATGGCCCCCTGCGGCACAGTGCACCCACCAGTGACGCCCGGCGAGAGGTGGCACAGCCAGGTGGGGCCCCTGCGGGGCTCCCCAGGGCGGCGCCACAGAACACCCAAGGACAGCGGTCACAGAAGCTCGGCCGCAGCCTGGGCGGCTGTGAACCAGTCCAGGGCACGTCCCCTGTACCCCTTGGCGTTGGGTTGTCCCCGAGTAACGCTACCGCTCTGCAAATGTAGATGCCCCACCTCCCCAAGGCTCGCAGCTTGAAAAATAGGAGCCGCCCCATGTTCCAGGTCCCACTGGTGCAGCCACGGGAGCCACAGGCTGAGCAGGGCAAGCCGTGGTAGCGAGGCCCCAGCTGTCGACGTCAAAAAAGTCACCCGCTTGGCCGGGGGCGGGACAGGCCCACCACGATGTCCTCAGGGGCCCTGGGCAGCACCCTAGCCGCCGACACCAGGACCCGTGCCCCAAGAGAGCCGTATCCCACAGAGAGGGGCAGCGACCCGTCCTCTGCTCCCTGCCGTCCATGCCCCCCCCCGACGCTACGCAAGCCGCAGAGCAGCGCAAATGCCTCGGCCAGATCCCCGACAAGCTGGCGCTGGGGGTGGGAGGAGCGAACGGGCAGCAGCGCTGCGGGGGTCTCCCCAGGGAGCTCCACCCAGACCTGGCTGTGCAGCAGCGAGCGGACGCCCACCCTGAGGCGCAGCCGCCCCTTCTCAAGGCGCCCACAGGGTACAGACGCCCCGGCAGTGCTGCGAGAATGAGGGGGCCGCAAGCCCCAGGACTCCCCGCTGGGGTGGGCAATGCCCGGAACAGCTGAGAGAGCGGGGTGCAGCATGCGAGGCGGCACGTCCCAGCAAGGGGCCCCCAGCACAGGCCTCGAGACCCCGGCCTCCCCGAGGAGCGCGTCCCCCGGTCAGCGCTCCGGACGCTGATTTCCGAGCGAGATCCGGAGCAGCGCAGATGGTGGCGCAGGCGAGAGTGAAGCCGGCCACCCGCTATGACCACCCCGCCGCCTCCCCAAGCAGCCCCAAGTTCAGAGGGGCCGCCCGGAACCTAGGCCTGCAGGGGCGGGCAGGCGGGGGGGGGGCAGTCAGGCCTCAGCCGGGGCCGGGTCTGCCGTGTGTCGAGGTCAGCCTGGCCTCCGGCCAAGCCCAGCAGACCACACACACGTGACCCCAGTCCACGCGGACACCCGGACGCCCCGTGCGCCCAGAGCAGCCGGCCCAGGCGGGAAGGGCCCGGTTCGCAGGCCCCCGTCATGCCCCCTTGACGCCCCTTCCCGAAATGAAGGGCCGCCAAGCCGCTGGGGTCGGCGCCCCCACCCCACGAGGCCACAGACCCCTCCTCTGCCCTGCCCGTCAGGCCACGGCCTGCTGGCACCTGCCGCCCGCCCCGCCTGCTCAGCCCCTCGCTCGAGCACACAAGGCACCCCGAGCAGGCGACAGCTTCCCTCCCAGCCCCTCCCCCAGACTCTGACACGCTGCTGGAGGGGCGCCCAGAGAAAGCGGGGCGGCGCATCTATTCACAGATTCGGGAAAAAAAAGTTTGATGCAATAGCTGAATTAATCAGGCCTCCCAGAGCAGGGCCGGCAGGCAGGCAGCGCCGGCGAGCAGCGGCTCCCGGGCCGGCGTCTAGAAGCAGCGCCAGACGCGGGGTGGGGGGTGGTTGGGCCGGGGGTGCTGGCGAGGACCCCGCGGTGGTGCGGACAGCCACGGCCGGCGCGGCCTGCAGGGACTCAGACGCCGGCTGGCCAGCGGGAGCCGGACAGAGGCCCGCCGGCCCCAGCGGGCCGGAAAGGGTGCGTCCAACACAAATCACGGGCCGCGGGCCACACCGGAGCCCCCGGAGCCCTCGCCCTGCCCAGGGGACTCCGGGATGAGCCCCTACCAGGCGTCGGGAGCAGAGAGGGACTGCGGGTCGTGTGTCCCCCACGCCTGGACACCCGGCTTCAGTCCCGGGTCGCCTCCATGGACTTCCAGCACCAACGGGCCTGCCGGGCTGGGCTCTGGGTGCCGAGAATGTGGGCAGCACCCCCGGGTCCCGCCAGCTGGCCTGGCAGCTCGAGGTGAGGGCCGTGCCCTTCACCCCTGGTTGGCCCGACAACTCTAGGGCCCAGGGCCCCACAGAAGTCTGGGCCTGTGGGCCTAGCGGGCCCGGGAGGAGCACCTGGGCCCGGAGGCCGGCCGGTCGGGGCACGGTGGGCCTCGTAAGCTGCCCCCCGACCTCCACCCAGCCCGAGGCCCTCGGCAGAGAACCCCGCGGCCCCAGCGGGGTCGTGCCCCTCCCCCGCGTTTCCCAGCACCCAGAGGAAAGCCCGAGCCCGGGGGAGGCCCGGCCCGGCCCCCCCACCGCCGCCCCGCCAGACGCCGGCCCCGGGCGCGCCGCCGCGGACACTCACCCGGGGCACCCGCCGCTTGTACTTGTTGGCGTAGTCGAACTTCTCCTTCATGTCGTCCAGGCAGCGGCCGAGCCGCGCCTGCTCCTCCTTGCCCGCGTAGTCCTGGCTCAGCAGGATGTAGGCCCGCCAGTTGGCCGAGTCGAAGCCCCAGTGGCAGGTCCGGTTCTCCAGGGCCTTGTGCGAGTGCACCACGAACTTGTGCGGCGGGTACATGAGGCGGCAGTCCAGGCACTGGATGCAGGCGGCGCTGGGGCTGCTGTACAGCTCGGGCACCAGCAGCCCCTTGCACTTGCCGAAGCACTCGTGGTACACGCGCACGCTGCGCTCGCTGAGCTCCAGGCCCAGCGCCAGGCCGGCCGCCAGCTCCTTCTTGCAGGGCGGCGGGTAGGCGCCCCCGTACAGCAGCGCGTTGCACAGGCGCTCGGCGTCCGTCTTGGTGATGAGCCCGCACGAGGGCGCGGAGAAGGGCAGGATGCCCATGACTTTGAGGATCTCCAGCTGGTCGGCCGTGCAGCGCGAGCAGTAGATGTGCAGCTCGTCGCACACCGCGTTGATCTGCTGCAGCGAGAAGTCGCGCAGCACCGAGTTGAGGATCTGCGGCAGGCACAGGCGCTTCTCGCCGCCCACCACGAAGCACGAGATGGTCTCGCCCTCCAGCACGGTCTCGCAGCGCTCGGTGGAGCGGTCGGACGGCATGAAGAAGGGCCCGGGCAGCACGGGCGGCGGGGCTGCAGCGCGGGCAGGTGCAGCACGGGCGGCGGCTCGGCGGCCGCGGGCACCGGCGCGGGCACCGCGGGCGCGCCCGGCTCCTTGGCGCCCTCCTTCTTGTAGGCCTCCTGCGCCCAGCGCGCCGAGAAGGCGGCCGGGCCGCCCAGCGAGCTCATGGAGCTCAGGTGGAACTGCTCCAGCGTCTTCTGCAGCCCGGGGTGCGGCTGGAAGCCGCCGCGGCCGCCCGCCGCCGCCTCCATGGCGCGCCCCGGCCGCTCCCGCTCCCGCGCGCCCGGGGCCCCGCGCCCGCCGCCGCCGCCCCGCGCGCCCCGCCGGCGCCCCGGCCGCGGCCCCGGCCGCCGCCCGCCGCCGCCGCCGGCTCCCGGCCGCTCACGGCCGCGGCCTCGCCCGGGGGCGCGAAGGGGAAGGCGGGCGGCGCGAAGGGGTCCCGCCGCTGCAGCGCGCCGCCGCCCGCGCCCGGCGCCGCATCCACGCGCCCCGCGCCGCGCCCGCCGCCGCCCGGGCCCCCCGCGCGCCCCCCGCGCGCCCCCGCGCCCTAGGCGCGGGGCATGGCCCGGCCCCGGCGCGCGCCGCCAACGCCAACGCCAACGCCCGCGGGCCCGGGGCGCGCGGGGGGCGCGCGGGCAGGTGCCGGCGCCGCGGGGCGCGGATCGCCGCGGCCGGGCCGGGGCGCGCGGGGGGGGCGGGGGCGCGGGGCCCGCCGGGCCGTCCTCGCGCGGCGCCGCCGCCCGCCCGCTCCTCCCCCCGCGCGGCGCCCGCGCGGCTCGTCCCGCGGCGCCCGCCGCCCGCGTCGCGCCCGCCGCCCGCCGCCCGGCCCGCGCCCGCGCCCGCGCCCGCCCGGCCCGCGGCTTCCGGGGCGGCGGGAGGCGCCGTCGGCGGCCGCGGCCCTCAGAGCGCGGCGGCGGCGGCGCGGGTCCCGGCGCACATCCTCCCGGCGGCTCGCTCGGCGCGGACTGAGGCGCCGCCCCGCCCGCCCGCCCGCCAGGAATGCGCCCGCCCCCCGCCGGCGCTTCCCGGAACGCGCGCTCGGCCGCGCTCGGGCCCGCCCGCCGCCGCCTCGGCCGCGCCCGGCCGCGCTCGGCGGCGCTCGGCCGCGCTCGGCCGCGCTCGGGCCCGCCCGGCCCCGCCCGCCCGGCGCTCGGGCCCGCCCGGCCGCGCTCGGCCGCGCTCGGCCGCGCTCGGCGGCGCTCGGCCGCGCTCGGCCGCGCTCGGGCCGGCCCCCCCGCCGGGCCCGCTCGGCCCGAGGCCCCGCCCGCCGGAAGGCCGCCCGCGGGGGCGACGGCGGCGCCCGGGCCCCCCTTCCGGCCGGGCGGCTTCCTGCGCGGCGGGGCGGGCGCCCGCCTCGCCGCCGCCGCCGCCCGGCCCGGCCCACACGCGGCGCCCGCCGCGACCGCAGCCGCGAGGCGGGGCCGCCCGCAGCCCGGGGCCCTCGCGGCGGGGCGCCCCCCCCCCGGCCTCGCGGCGGGACCCGCGCTCCGCGCCCTCCCCCCCCCGTCTCCGCGAAGCGCGACCCCGGGCCGGGCGGCAGGTGCCCGCGCGTGGGCCGCGACCCCGAGGGCCGGGCTGGGCGGGCGCCCCCTCCGCCGCCCGAGACCCCCGCCCTCCGGCCCGGACCCGACGCCCCTCGGGCCCAGGGACGCCCCGCCCCGCGCCGCGCGCCCGAGCGGAGGAGGGGCGCGCCAAAGCCGGGCGGCCCCTCCGGAGGGCCCTTCTCGCCACGTCGGCCGCGGTGTCCCGCCCGGCCCGGCCCGGCCCGGCCCGGCCGCGGGGACAGCGCCAGCTCCCGGCCTGCTGCCCCGTCCGCCTCCGCCCGGCGAGGCTGCAGCAGGGGCCCCGCAAGGCGAGGAGGGACGGGGTCAGCCCTGCCCAGGGCGGCGGGGGGAAGCCTGAGTGGGAGCGGGGGGCGCAGCAGGGACCAGGCGTGGCCGCCAGCGCGGGTAGACGAGCTCCTCAAACTTCTCGGGTTGGGGGGCTGTGAGGCCTTCTCCCCCTAAGATGTGGCTCGCGGAGCAACAAGCCCCCCACACACACACACTAGGACCAGGGCCAGGGCCCGCACAGTCGGCCGGCCAGGCCCGTCTCCACAGCCAGGGCAGGCGGGGTGGCACCTGCTGGCCTTGCTCCCTCCAACCCTCCTGGCCGCCACTCTGGCCCCGTGTCCTCCTCACACGGTCCCCTGCCAGGGGCCAGGCACCACGCTGGGGGCAGGAGGGGCCAGGCCACAGGCTCAGCCTTGGGGGCAGGGATGGGGACCTGCTCCCCTGACTCTCCCACTTGACTGGCCCTTGCCGGGCGCATGGGTGCATTTGCTCTGTGGACAAACTGGGGGCTCGGGGCCTGGAACCCTGGGAAAGGAGTTCAGGCTCTGCCCACCGAGCTTCGCCCTACTCCAGGCAGCTTGGCAAAGGAGGCAGAGGTACTGGGAAGGGGGCAGGAGTGCCCGGGCCTGAGGGGCCAGGGGCAGGCCTTGGAGCCAGAGGCTCGAGGCTGCCTGCCCTGGGGGAGACTAGATCATCAGACTTGGGCCAGAGGCCCCCCAGACAACCTCCCCATGGGCCCGCTCCGCATGGTCCTGCGTCCCAGCCCTGGGAGCCGAAGGCAAAGCCAGCGGGGCACGGGCCACCGGTGTCGGACGCCGCGCTCGGCCTTCGCAGTTGAACAACCGTTGGGATCACCGCAGCTTCATAAAAACGGAGAAGAGGCTGTTCCCAGGGAGCAGCTCCAGGCAGACCCGAGACAAAAGTCGGCTGCAGATGGGTGGTTGGGAGGCCGTCGGGAAGCACCGGTGGGCTGAGGGAGGAGGCGGGCAGGACGCAGCATGCCTTAGGAAGCCGCTGCCAGCCGAGGCCTGCGTGGCCGCCCAGCAGGGAGCCACCGGAGGAAGCGGGCCGGCTCAGGGCAAGGCCACGGGGCTGGAGTGGAGGGCACAGAGGCTGTAGCCGCCAGACTAGCGTGAGCCCACACGCACGCACAAGCTTCAAGACCTACAGACGAGCACAAAGGCTCTAGAGGGCACTGCGCATTTGCACAGGTGTGTACAAGCCCCACTCTGCGGCCGAGAGGCCCTGCTGCAGCGCTGCCCCGGCGGCCTGGACAATGGTCTGGACCAGGGCCTTGGCAGCTTGTCCACCTGCCCTGAGGGCATGGGGCTCTTTGGGGGAGCGGCTGGCCGGGCAGGGGGCACAGGACAGGCTGGAGCACCTGCTGTGCGGGTGGCGAGGGGGCGCGAGGCGGGACAGACACCCCAAGCTGGTGCTTATGGACAGACGTGTAACACGTTGACTCGGCGATGGGACGGGGCCTCCTCCACAGATTTCAGCTCCCCCCACTGAAGGTCCCCTTAACGACAAAGGGAAGAAGAGTGAGTTCAAGGGGAGCACCAGCAGCACCCCGCGGAGCCCGCCCAGGGGCCATGTGGAGCGACGTGCAGGGCAGCCCCATCTCCTGACAGCATCCACCCACACCGCTTCCAAGAGCCTCCTGCCGCTTTAGCACCTGACTGTGGTGAAGCCTCAGGCACCCCCAGGGCAGGACTCTGTACAGAAGGACCGGTCTGGAACTTTCCAGGGTGGCAGGGTCAAGGCAGTCATGGAAAGATCAAAGAAAGTTCTGGACCAAAGGAGGAGAAAGAGACGCAACACCCAGTGCAACATGGTCCCTGCTGGTGGCCACAGCAGAGGATGGCTCTGACTGAGCGGGAGGCCTGGGCCTGGCGAGGGCCTGGTGAGGACCCAGTTACACGCGGCCATGCCCTGGGCAGCACTGGGGCATCTGGGCACTATTCTTGCAGCGTTCCCATAAGTTTGAGGTTGTTAGAAACTGCACAACTTGTTTTGAAAACATCATGGGGAGGAGACGTGAATCGTCCATTGCCCTGCTCAGCTGCCCAGCACGGCGAGCTCCAGCCTGAGGCTGCTGCGGATCCCCACCGGGCCCCGCGCTCGCCGGGGCCACAAGCAGGATGCAGGTGCTGGACTAGTCTGGCCAAAACACAAGCCTCGGAAGGGAGCAGCACCCACCCTTTTCCAAGAAAACGCACAAAGATGGACCTTGCTGGTGGCCCAGCGGTTAAAGACCGCGCTATCGAGCTGTCGCCAGCCACTGCGGCCTGAGTCCATCCCCGGCCGGGGAGCTGACCCATGTGGCGCAACAGACCCCACCTGTCTCCCGCTGCTCCCCTCAGCAGTGGGTTTCAGTGGATCTGCCTGTTCTGCTCCCCACTCTGTCTCTGGTGAGTCCTGTCACCCCCCTCCACACACACACCTCTGGCCTGTACCCCAGTCTGGCCTGTATGCATAAATAAATAAGCGTCTAGAAAAAAGGTTTAGGGAAAAAAAAAAAACATGTAAAGATGAAAACTGCAGGGCTAGAAAGCAGGACAGAGCACAGGCCAAGGGGGTGAGGGGGCCGGAGCCCAAGCACCCCTGACACTGGGAGTCGAGGCCACGGGCCCGTTCTGAAATGGAAGCTGGACCAACTTCTCCGGCAACAATGAAGCTGAGCGGGGCTGTCTAGCTCCTGAGAGGAACGGAACGGAGATTGTGCCCCACCTGGCGCTGACAGCGCTGGGCCTGAGCAACCAGCCGGGCGGGGATAGAAGGACAATAGAGGCCGCATCTGACCAGATTGAAACTGTGTGAGAATCTGCTGGAAGATGCCAGTAGAAGCAGCTGTAGGCACAGAGGAAACTGCAGAAGCAAAGGTAAAGCAAGGCAAATACTAACTCCCGGGAAAACAAAGAGCGTCTGCGCAGAGGTCAGCGCCTGGCTCAGCGGTGGTGGCGGCACATGTTATAATGATGCACACACCCCGGGACCAAGACTCCTGGGCGACGCATGTGGGCGGTGGGGGCAGAAGGTGTTGGTAAGTGGCTCTGCGGGGTCCAGCCTTGGGGAGCCAAGCCAGAGCAAGCAGCTTTCACACAAGGGGGAGAATCAGACGAGCGGTGGGAAGACCCAGGGGAGGCTGCCGGGGGCAGGGGACCAGGTCAGCAGCCCGTGAAAGCAGCCTAACCCCGGTTCTCTGTTTCTCTAGCACAGATCACGACACTAAACGTGACCACTCGCCATCCCACACGTTGTCTTTAGTTGGTCAGGGTTAGAAACACCCCAGAACTCTGAACTGAAAGTAAACAATGACGAGAAATGCACATTCCCATCACACGGTGCGGGTTTGGGGCTTGAAGAGCACAGTCCAAAGGCACCCACTAAAGAGGGCCTACAAGTGGGGTCACAGAATG